TCTAAATCCTTGTTTCCTGTGTCCATCCAGTGAAAGCACACACACAGCCGTTCCTGGCAGATGCGCGGGATGGGGGCTGAGCCCTTCCCCACACCAGGCGGTGACTTGTGGTATGAGGCAAAGACCCAGGTAGCCACGGGCAGCGTGGAGGAGCCACTGTGCACAGACAGAGGCACAGAAGCCTGGCTGGCGGCTCCGCGTGTCCTCACACTGGGGTGGCTCCCTGCACCCACCCCCACGTGTGCTGACCTGGACCCTTCAATCCGGTGACCCCAGTCTCAGGGAGGAAGCAGAAAGCCTCGTGCTTTTCCCTTACGATGGCCTGGAGTGCAGAGGGGAGGGACCTGAGGGACATGGTCGGCCCGGAGGGGGCCTGGTCTGCGCTCCCCTCTTGGTGTCTCCCTTTAATCTGTGTGTGACAGCCTGGGCCACACCTAGACCAGGGGCTACCCCAGCTCTGTGCTCAGGGATCTCACCCAGTGATGCTCGGGAGCCACCCCACGCTGGGGATTGAACCCGGGTCGGCAGTGAGCAAGGAAGCGCCCTGCCCGCTGGGCTGTCGCCTCGGTCTCTGGCCTAAGCCTGACTCAGATCTGTACGAGCCCGGGAAGGCCAGGCCAGCGGCACCCCTGGCCTCTCTCCCAGCCCTTACAGCCCGGCTGCTGCCCGGGCCGGGGGTTATACCACCCTCCCCCGGAGCCCTTTCTTGTGCTGCTCGTGACCAAATAGGAGGGACCCTATTGGGTGGTGACAGGGTGCAGGAGACCAGAGGGGTGGAGGGAAGGAAAGTCATAAAAGGGTCTAGGGATGGGGGAAGTCCAATGAGGTGACCGCGGGGGACCAAAGAATAAGTCATAATGAGGTGACCAGTGGGGAGGGCAAGGGAGGAAGAAAGGAGAAATCATAATGGGGTGACCAGCGGGTTCAGGGAGGAGGGGAAAGACATAACGGGGTGATCAGTGGGTTCAGGAGGAAAGTCATAATGGGGGCCCGCGGGTGCCCAGGGGGAGAAGTCAGAACAGGAGCCGCCCTGTAGACGTCGCTCAGCAGAGTGTGGGCACAGAACGCAGCAGAGGTCACGGGCCCTCACCCACACGGTGGCTGGAGCCACACTTGGGGGTACGTCGTGTTCCGAGCCCAGCTTTCCCCTCCGGCAGCTGCCAAGTCAGGGCTCACAGCTTGGCCAGGGCTGAGAAGGCACCGCAGGGTGTGGAAGATGGAGCCGTGAGCAGGGAGAGGGTGAGGCAGGAGCGAAGCCAGCCCGGGCAGCGGAAGGAACCACGAGGGAGTGCAGGAGCAGCCCAGCTCAGAGGCCAAGGAGCCTCCCGCGCCAACTCGGAGGCTTCTAAGTCGAGGTGGAAGAGGAGATAAAGGCTCCATCTCCAGGAGGATGGAGTCCACGGTGGTTAAGCCAAACTGTGTCCTGCAAGAGGCAGAGGGTCCTGAAACAGGAGGTCCGCTACCACCAGGGCCTGGGCAAGGGCGGCAGGATGCAGAGACTTTTTCTCTGAATTTTCCTTTTTCTGATTGTCAGGAATTTTAAGCATTAACATTGTAAGTATGCGTATTCGATATGCCAAAAATAGTAACAACGCTCACAATGGAGACGTTACTGGTGCCCACTGGAGCAAATCAATGAACAACGGGAGGACAGTGCTACAGTATGCAATTCAGCCACAGCAGACAAAGACATGCCAACAAACCGTAACCAAAATCAAATACTAAGAAAACCCAAACACCTCGAGGCAGGACACTGCACAGGAGTCTTAATGAGAGTGACTCTGTAAGCCTTTAGTGCTAAAGACAAGGGTTGATGAAATTAGCCACCTTGACAGTGAGTGCAAGACACAAAGCATAAAATGACACAAACGTGCACGTGAGAGGATATTCTGTAGGTCCAGAATCAACTCAGGACCTCCAAGGTCAGCCAAGGCAAGGCTTTAGCACTAATGATTGCCATCTTGCAAGACGTGTTGAGAGCGGGCACACCAGAGCATACAGAAACTAGGCTTCAGGGGCTGGAGCAGTAGCACAGCGGGGAGGGTGTTTGCCTTGCATGCGGCCAACCTGGGTTCAATTCCCAGCCTCCCATATGGTTCCCTGAGCATGGCCAGGAGTGATTCCTGAGTGCAGAGCCAGGAGGAACCCCTGAGCACCGTCGTGTGTGACCCAAAAAGAAAAAAGGAAAAGAAAAGAAACTGGGCGTTACCCCTACCCCGAGGCCTGTCTCCCTGCTGGTCAGGCTCTTCTCACTGAGTGGCACTCGGCGGACACATTGCCTCCAAATTTGTTTTTCAGCTCTATTTCCTCACTCTTAAGCTTTGAGGCCAGCCTGCCCTTTCTAAAAAACTAAAACAGGTCTCCTGTAATCTCTAACAGTAAATCTGTGACTGCACTTCCATATCAGCACCTGAGGTCTAGATTCTAGATAATCACCCACGGCCTGGGCATGAGTCACGTTTCGCTGTCTCATACGCAGCACCCCAACACACAGCAAGACGGTGGGGAGAGTTGCGGGAGGGAACTCCCCTCGCCTCGCGCGGGGCACACAGCCTTCACGTCTCAGAGGACAGGCCGACTGCGTGTCAGCCCAGCTGCAGCGGACAGCTGCGTGCATGCGTGCACCTGCGCATCCACACCTCCTCGCCTCACAAATGCAGCTTTGCCAACGGAGCCCCCCGCAGCCAAAGACCTCCAGAACTCAATCCCTGCCATGCTCACGCCAACCTCCATAGGCTGGGAAGAGCCGCATCCATGAGTGAATATGCCAGAAAAACCTCAGGTGTGTGGGACCCGGGGCTGAGATCTCCAAGCCTGTACAGTTTGGGACTGGACCTGCCAGTAACTAGACAGTTACACCCACCAACTGCCGTGTAACTCCAACAACGGCCAGGATCCAGAGATCGTCACACTCAGCTCCTGGGAGAGAACAAGACAGAGTCTCCTACCCTATGCCTGACTGTCTCCACCAGGGCCCAACAGCTGAAGACCACCGAGGCCCAACCAAGGCCTTGCTGGGAGCACTCTCCACACACTTGGATGAGCCTCACGCATAAAAGAACTGACAGAGGAACCCAGGTGTGTGGGACCCGGGGCTGAGATCTCCAAGCCTGCACAGTTTGGGACTGGACCTGCCAGTAACTAGACAGTTACACCCACCAACTGCCGTGTAACTCCAACAACGGCCAGGATCCAGAGATTATCACACTCAGCGGCCGCGCGACATCTTATCATCTCATTCCTAATTCGGTCAAACTGGCAGGCTACCAAATGTAACATGCCCACACGGCAGAGTCTGGCAAACTCCCCGTGGTGTACCCAATATGCCAAATACCAGTAACAATGATGGGTCTCATTCTCCTAACCCTGAAAAAGCCTTGAATATGGCACTTTAAAAAAAAAAATCTCAGGGCTAGGACGAAGAAGACGTTACTGGCACCTGCTCGAGGCAATCGACAAACAACAGGGTGGTCGTGATCGTGATCGTGATCGTGCGGGACTTGTGACCGAGATCTCCCAGTTTGCAACCTCCCCCCACCTCCCTGTTCTTCCGGAGCCTGACTGCCACGCCACAAACTGCTTCTGGCCCTGTGGAGCCATACAAGCTTATTAACGGCCACGATCCAGGCACTCACAAATGAATCTCGGAAGAAAGTCACAAGCTGCCAAGATGCCTCTGGACCCCAAAGTCACCATCCAGTTAAAAATTTAATTCCAGCTGTATCACCCTGTCAAAAATTTTGGAATTCCCAGAGCACACGGCCGCATTTGCCACGTTTGTAACAACAGGTTAATAATCTCTTGCATAAGGGCTTAATGGCTCCAGGGTGAGCGGCAATTCTCTTCACACACTTTCCTCTAAGGAAACTTTTATGAAACAATTTTTGCAGGTTATCCATAATAAGCAACGCAAAACAAATTATTTAGGGGCAAGCTTTGCGGGTGATGGGAGTACGTGAAATAACGGGTGGTGAGGTTGGCGTTGTAATATTGAATGTAATAAATTATTGTGAACAACTTTCTGAAAATAAAATATGATTTAAAACATTAAATTAAAAAAAAGCACAAATGCAGCTTGGTGGATTTATGTTTCCTGACTGAAAACCTTTGTCTGACTTGGATGTAATGTACAGAGCAAAGGGCTTATCAGTTGCCTGGTCAGCTCATGAGGTGCTTTCTTTGGCGTGCACACACACACACACACACACACACACACACACACACATCCACATCCATGCAGAGACTTTTACATGTGTGCTCACTCCATGTCTAACTCCAGGTTCCTGTGGGCACACTGACCTCCCGAGAGGTCAATTCTTGATTTCCTAGCTCTAGGAGGCATGTTTCGGCAACAGCACAGTCAGGAATCTGCCTGGAGACACTTCTCTTTTCTCCTTGCGTCTCTTCTCTTCCACCTCCCGGTCCTTCTCTCCTTAGCGACTCGTGTTCCTGTAAGTCATGTGTGCCCCGTCTCTGACTGCTGCTAGCGTCCTATTGGAAAGACCAATCAGACTTATGCCCTTCAAAGGATTGGTAGAATTGCCACTGCCCTTATGCTAGGAGGGCTTGTAAAACGACCCATCCGATTGCCTACACCCCTAAAGGGGGTTGTAAGACAACCAATCAGGTTGCCTATGCCCTTTCGGAGGGGGGGGGTGTAAGACGACCAGCAAAGGGCCCATGAACATGCGACGACCCAAAGGAGGTCTGGCTCGTCTGCCCCCTCCTTCATCTCCTCCACGTCAAGGTGCAATGTGGGTGTGCGCACACAGATGTGACCGTGTGCACAGGCTCTGTGCACAGGTGCGTGTACACAAAGACCAGGCGCACGGTAACAGCGCAGGCGCACGTGCGAGGAGAGGCAGGCCACGCGCGCACAGGCACGCTCGCTCGGGGCGCATGCGCGGCCCCGCCCCCGGCGGCCCGCCCCCGCCCCTGGGCCCCGCCCCGCCTCGCGCTTGGCCCCGCCCCGCGGCCGCGCCGTCACAAGCCCCCGGCGCGCATGCGCGGGGCGTGGCCGCGGGGCCGCTGGCCGTGGGCGCCGCTTGGCCGGTTGTCCTGGAGAAGCAAAATGGCGGCGACGGCGGCCGCGGGGCCCGAGGAGGACACGGAGCTGCGGGACCTGCTGGTGCAGACGCTGGAGAGCAGCGGGGTCCTGAACCGCATCAAGGTGGGGGCGGCGCGGGACGGAGGCGGGCCCGGGGGTCAGGCCGGCCCTCGGCGGGCTCCGTGGGCTGCTCGGCCGCGCGGCGCGGGCCCAGGGGCCTCGGGGGCTCGGGGGGCCGGACTCGGACTTGGGGGCCTGGACTCGGGGGGCCGGACTCGGGAGGCGGGGGGGGGGGGGTGGAGAGACTTGGGGGCGGGGCCTGGATCGGGGGCGGGGCCTGTTTGGGGGCCTGGGCTTGGGCTCGGGGCGGGGCCTGGGTTCAGGGGCGGGGCCTGAGTTCGGGGCGGGGCCTGGGTTCGGGGGCGGGGCCTGGGTTCGGGGGCGGGGCCTGGGTTCGGGGGCGGGGCCTGGGTTGGGGCATGTGCTCGGGGCTCGGGCTCGGGGCTGGGGCTGGGGCCAAGCCGGGGTCCTGTGGACTTTGGTTCTTGGGGCCTCGGCAAGTGCTCACTGGGCGCCACAGGCCCTGGAGCTGTTCCTAAAGCTGCTTTTGTCCCTTTCCCTCCTGCCAAGGCCGAGCTGCGAGCAGCTGTGTTTCTAGCTCTGGAGGAGCAAGAGAAAGTCGAGGTACGCCCACCCCGTGGCTTCTGACATCTGTGCAGAATGCTGTTCCCCTGGCCGAGGAGCAGAGCCTGCGAGGGCACTTGCTCCCCCGACAGCGGCTCTTACCAGGCTCTCCTGGACTTGCTGCTGTCAGGGGCGTACTCCTCCGCACAGACCCCCGGGAGGTGCTCGGAGACCCCCGCCACCGCTGCTGTTTTCTTTCCTTGTCAGGCGGGCGGTGCTCCCGGGTGCTCTCAGGAGGCCCTGGGTACCCTCAGAGTGATGGTTCGCCCGCGGGGTTTGAGGGTGCCGTAGGCCCTCAGTTGGTTGACCTGGCCTCCCGGCCTGCCCGGTACTCTGGGGGACCCAGGACCACAGCCCAGTCTGACCTTCCCCAGACACCCCGTTACTATGACTCACAGTGTCCTCCTCAGCACGCAACCACAGCCCCGCTCTCGGTGCTCCCGTGTTGGTCCCGGCACTCCCGGCCTTGTGCTCAGGAGTCTCTGCGTCCCCCCCCCCCCCCCCCCCGGGCCCTGCCCGGGGTGAGCTCTGGTCGCCCGCCGGCCACAGCGTGAGCCCTGGCTCACTGGTTCCGCTTGGCCTTCTCCCTCTGGCCCCTCCTCTGCACGGGTGCACAGAGAGCAGACAGTGTGTGCCGTGCCCACCTGGCCTGTCCCCTTGCCCTCGGGGCCTGCGTCCCTCCCCATTGTACCTCGGCCTCAGCACCCACAGTCACTGCTGGAGCGAGCGGGAGATTCCAAGCCGAGGGACCTCTCCCCTACCCCTTGCGCTCTGTGCCGTGCCTGTCTCCCGGGCTCCCTCCAGCTGGCCTGCGAGATGCCGCCCCACCCCCGCCTCTGCTCCCCTGGCCGCATCTGTCCACCGGTCACTGACACTCAGCCCCCGGGACCCTCCCTGAGGCCTTTCTCGCTCCTGAGTGCCAGACCGGGTCTCCCTCTGCCGCCCCCAGGTCCTCCCCACTGTGCCGAGTGCTCCACTGCCCACAGCACCCCTCGCCCTTGCAGGGCCTACACACCAGACCTCGCCCCTCGCTTTTCTTGTTTTTGTTTATGGGCGGTGCTCAGGGCTTCCTCCAGGCTCTGCACTCAGGGATCACGCCTGGCGGTGCTCGGTGCTCGGGGGACCCTGTGGGATGCCGGGGGTCAGACCCAGGTCAGCCCCGTTGCAAGACAAACGCCCTCCCCACTGTGCCCCCACTTCCTCAGAAACACCCTCTGCGTCCCTGGGCCAGTCTGGGCTCCCTCCCCATGCCTGTGCCACCGTCTCCGGGCGGGCGGCTACGGTGGTGCCTGGAAACAGTGTCCCAAGGCTGCCCAGGCCTTGGCAGAACCCGGCACTTGGGGAGCCCCACTGTGGCTGTGGCCACGCCTGGCCTCTCGGTGAGGTTGTGTCCGGCTGTCGGTGGGTGCTGGACTCCAGCTCCACATGCTTCTGAGTACGGCACCTGTCTTTGCTCTGGCGCTTTCTCTTCTGAGGACACACGAGCTGGACCACGAAGTGACCCTCAGACACCCCCACCCCCCCCCCCCACCCCCGGCCTCGTGGCTTGGGTGTAGTTTTTCACACGGCAGGTTGGATCCAGCGGGATCTTCCCTCTGCCGATGGGCCGAGTGTGCGGCCCCGGTGTTGGCCCACACGCCACTGGAGCTCGTTCCCCACCCCCTGGGGCGCGGCTGCCGCTTGTGCTCCCCGTTTCCACGTGGGTGCTGTCCCTCGGGGGTCTCAGCCCAGGCGGGGCTGAGGGATTGGGCCGACAGCTGCTGCTCCTCAGCCCCGGAGAGCAGATGAGTAGCAGGAGGGCCATGTCACGCGCTGACAGACTTGGGGGGTTGCAGTTTAACGAGCTATTTATAAGACGTTTGAAAGTGAATGTTTCGTTTTACTTTGAGGTGCTGTTAGCTCAAAACACTTCCTGTGGTAATTGGTAGGGGGTGATTTTTTGAGTGACTGCGTTTTACTTTTACCTCTGAAAATCAAACTTGAATCTGAGTGTTTTGTGATTGTTTTTAAGATCATTAACACTGCGTTTACGATGTTTCCTTCTTTGACAGAACAAAACTCCTTTAGTAAACGAGAGCCTGAGAAAGTTTTTAAACACGAAGGACGGTAAGACGCCCGTCTTGTTCCCATTCTGTCTCTGCCCGTCCGTGTCTTGGACCGTTCGGGATGGACCGGGGGTTTTAGATTTCTTCCTGAAGCCCTTGCTCTTAGCAATTCGCTGTTTAAAATCCACTTTATTTTGTGATTGTTTCCATTGCTATTAAATTTTATTGTAAGAAATCATTGGTGAAACAGTTTTACTGTAAAAAGTAATCCGTTTCTGAAATGTCATCCTGCCCTCCTGTCACAGTAGTTGGGTATCGGTAATCCCAGAGGAATGCGGGAGTCCGTCTCAGCCCTGGGCTAGGGTTTGCAGAGACAGACTTGGGCTGAGTGCTTCCCTCCCGTCCTGGGCCGAGCCCTGCTCACCCTACCCTCGCCCTGCAGGCCGGCTGGCGGCCAGTCTCGTGGCGGAGTTCCTGCAGTTTTTCAATCTGGATTTCACCTTGGCGGTTTTTCAACCTGAAACGAGCACAGTAAGGACGATTTTCTTCATCTCTCCCCTCAGACGACTGTTACAGCTGAAACTAGACAGTGAAAGGGCCGAGTGTCTCGGCGTGGGGCTTCCTGCGTCCTCGCTGACAGCGGTGCCCCTGCTTCGTGTGACTGCGAGTTTGCTAGTCAGCGAACGTTGCGTCATTCACGTTCGGTGGCGCACGCGTGTTGCGATGAAAGTGGGTCTCGTTCGAAAGCTGTGGGAAGGTGTCAGTTTCTCGACGGTTCTCTCGAAAACGTCGCTCTGTCGTGGCGCACTGCCGTTCTTACGTTGGTTTCTCCCTTAGCTTCAAGGCCTGGACGGGCGGGAGAAGCTGGCCCGGGACCTGGGCATCATCGAGGCGGAAGGCACGGTGGGCGGCCCGCTGCTGCTGGAGGTGCTCCGACGGTGCCAGCACAAGGAGAAGGGCTTCCTCTGCGCGGAGGTGAGCTGCGGGCTGCGCCCTGCCCGCCCGCCCGCCCGCCTGTGACGGGGCCTGGCTGTGTCCGCCCGCCGTGTGACGGGCAGCTGTGTAATAGATGGCGTGTGTGCTCCTGTCACGTTGGTCTTCTCTGCTGTTTGCTCACGCCTGGCGTCCACCCCGAGGTGAGACGAGGCTCCCAGCGCCCCCGGGCAGTGCTGCGCCGTCTCTGCAGTGGACACCCGTCCCCCTTCGCTCCTGCTGTATGTGGTTCCGTCCCTCCTGGGGCTCTCCCGCAGGGCATGGGGACGGGTCGGCACAGGATTTTCTGTCTGGGGGTGCTCTCCACGGTTGGCCACTCCCGCCTCTGCCCTGGGGCCTGTGGGCGTCTGACCTGGAGCCTGGGGGTCAGGGCCTCTCCTGCTGCTCCTGAGGGGCCTGCGGCCTGCGGCCCTTCCCGTGGAGCTCGGTCCCGTCACCACGGCAGAAGCCAGCCTGGGGTGGACCCCCGCCCGCCCGCGCCCTCTCAGCAGGATCGAGGACGGAGCCCACCAGACGTGGGGCATGGCCTTCCGGGGGCAGGGTGGGCACAGCCCGGGGTCGGGACGTGCTCCCCCTCCTTCCCTGCTTCCTGGCCGGGGTCCCTCGCAGCCCCCACCCCGCTGTGTCTCCCCGCCCTTGGTCCCTCCCTATCTCCTGTCCCCGAGCCGAGGGAGTGACCCGCTGTCCTTGGCCCACGCACAGACCCTGCGTCTGATGTGGGCACGCCTCGCCCCTTGGCTTTCATCGGGCCTCACGGTGAGCACGGGCTCCCTCCCCTCAGAGCTCTGTGCTGGGAGTGACTGTCCAGGCACGCTCGGGTCACACATGTGGAGCTGCAGGAGGCCGCAGGCCGGCAGGAGGGTGGTCAGGGCAGCTGAAGGTGGGTTTTTGTTTGTTTGGGGGCCTCCCCCAGCGATGTTCAGGGACAGCGCCTGGCTCTGTGCTCAGGAATCACTCCTGGCGGTGCTCGGGGACTCCGGGTGCTGGGCTGGAACCCAGAGTGACCACATGTGAGGCACCGCTGCCCACTAGCCTGCCGCCCGGGCCCTAGAGGTGACTTCCTGCAGGAAGACCCAGGAGCTGCCCATAAGCCCTGGCACAGGGCCAGGCCCAGAGAGCTGCGTTTGGAGCGAAGGGGCTGTAGCGAGGGTCCCGGGTTCCCGCCCTGTCTCGGGGTCTGAGGCCACCACACCCAGTGTCCGCCAGCTGCTCTGGGGCAGCTTTCTTGGCCGTCAAATGAAGCAGGAGCAGGTCCCGAAGGAGGGCGGGCGCGGGGACAGGGCTGTGGAGACCCGGGCGCCGCCAGTGTGTGCGAGGCCCAGGGGCTGTGAGCGCGTGTGGGTGAGTTGGGAGGTGAGACGTGGGGCCCGGGGGGAGCCTGACGTTTTCACGGTCTGGCCCGGAGCGTGACAGTCTCGACCGTTTCAGGGTGCGCTGACGCTGTCGGAGCCACCGTCTCCCCCGAAGTCCCCCGATGGGAAGGCCAGCGTGCACTCAGCGCCCAGCAAGGTGAGTGCCCTCCTCTCCCGGCTGCGCTGCAGACCCTCGGCGTGGGCCCCTGGGCTCGCTGCAGCCTGCAGTTCCCTCTGGCCGGGGTCTGGGTCTGGAACAGGGTGTCGCGTGGAGTGTTGTCGCTGGAACCGCGACGCTTCCCGCCGGAGACCTCCGTGCCCAGGCTGCGCTTCCAGGGGTCTGTGTCGTGCTGGCCTGCCTGCGGGGTCCGGGCTGCACGCGGGACTGCCCCGCCCGGCTCTCGGGTGTGGTGTTGCCGGCAGGGCTGATGGCGGCGCCCGCTTCCAGGACGGGAGTGGCGAGTGGAGGCTTCTCTGGGCAGCCGCCACGGGACCCGGGCCTGCGGTCAGCGGGCGCTGCTGCGCCTTCGGAGGTCCGGGGCTTTGTCTTGCCCGGTCCAGCAGCAGCGCGGTGCCGTGTGCGGGCCTCTGGGGGCTGCCTGTGGCCGCGCCCCTCGCCTTGTGCCCAGGCGCTTTCCTCTTGCCGCGTGGAGCTCGCCGCAAGTTGTCTTTTTTCTTACAAAAATGTATTTGATGAAAGCAGCCTGATTCCCAGAGGCTGAGCTTTAGACGAGCAGCGCCCAGCACCGACCCCCCGCCCGGTGTCCCCAGGCCCCTCCCGAGTTTGCTCAGTCGAGTTTGGTCGCTGGTTCCGGTGGTGCCGACTCCGGTTCTCCTCCTCTGCCACCCACGTGCCTGAACCCCTGGACCTCTGCTCCCCCCAGTCTCTTCCCATCTCCCCCCCGGGCTCGGGGCCTGGGTGGTCTAGGCAGCCCCCTTGCGAACACGCGTCCCCTCGTGCCGTCACGCTGCTAGCAGTGGGACCGCCCTGCCTCTGCCCTCCTTCGGGCTGACTTCCGTTCACGCATTTCTCAGGTCCAGCTGGTCGCAGCGGATGGCGTGGCTGCTGCGTTCATGCTCTTTTCCAGCGGGGTTGGGCGAGGCAGCTTCCTGCCGGCGGTGGGGGACCGTCCCTTTTCACCGCATCCCCGCCGACTCAGACCGTCCCTGTTATTTTTGGTACCTGCCCTTGTCCCTGGTGTGGGACGGCATCTCACCATCGCCCTGATTCCCCCAGAGCAAATGATGGTGATTCGCTTCCTGCTGGCTACCTGTCGCCCTTCCTCACAGAAGTCCCTGTTCATTTCCTCTCCCCGTTTTTTGATGCTTTTTGATGTTGTTTGGGGGGGATTTTTATCGCAGATTTTTGTGAGTGCTTTATCCTGGATATCAACCCTTTGTCTGATGTCCTGACGACAAATAGTCATTCCCCCTTAGCTGGCTTTTAGTTTTAGCCCGTGTTTGTTTTCCCGGGGAGAAACTCTCTGGTGTCCCACGTGTCTGTTTTGGACCCTGTTGCCTTTGCCGGTGGCGCCGTATCGTTGAAGACCCCTTTGAGGACCAGACCTCGGAGCCTCTGCCTGTAATTCCCTCCGTGGTTTGTAGATCCAGCTCTGACCTCGTCTTTGACCCACTTGGCGTTGACTTTTGTATAAGGTGTGAGATGCGGGTCCAGGTTTGCTTTTGTGTCTGGTTCTCCGGTTTCCAGTTTCCCAGCACTGTCGGAGAGGCTGTCTTTGCTCCAGTTCGTGCTCTCAGCTACTTGTCGGTATTCGCTGAAGTTGATGTGGGGTGTCCTTGGAGATTCCCTTCTGACCCGTGGTCAGAGAGGCGTCTGTTCCAGCGCCACGCTGGTTTGCTGCGGGCTGTCTTTCCAGCAAACAAAAACCCTTTTTCAGAAGCGTTTTCCCAGTGTCGACCTTCCACATAAGGTCTGCGTTTGAGCTGCACTTCCACACGGTCGCCCCTGCAGAAGCCTTTTCTAAAGATCTCAGCGTTGTGAATTGTGACTGGGAATCTGCTTTGACTCTGGGCCACCCCACGGTACTCGGGGACTACGTTAGGGGTCACTGCTGGCGGTGCTGGGAGGTGCCGGATGCAGCCTGGGTCTCGGCCGTGGGGCCTCTAGAGCTTGGGGTCTCCGTTCCCAGCCTGTCAGGCATGTTCTCTGCACGGTTCAGGGAGCCGTGAGTTGTGCTCCAGTGAGCCCATCCTCCCATCACTGCCTGGTGAGCCACGGGTGTGGCCTTACTCTCAGCCCGGCTCGGGGCTGCTGTGACCCAGCAGGGGGCGGGTTGCTGTGGTCCCTGGGCTGCCGCTGAGGGCTGCTGTCTCTGGGTGGTGACATCAGGGCCCAGCTGGGGGCCTGCGAGGCCTGGAGCACCCTGTGGTCCCAGGCCCGGCTGGGTGGGGGACCGTGTGTTAGGGACGTGGCCTGGGCTCAGACCCGGCTTTCCGGGTCTGCTTCTTCCGCCGTTGTCTGCTCTGGACCCGGAGCGTACGTGTCGGAGTAGTGAGACAGCTGAGCCTGCTCCGAGCAGGGCGTTGCCACCGACCCAGGACCCGGGCAGGGGGGAGCTCGCGGGTCAGGGTTTCCTGACGAGGCCCTTTTCTCTCGTGCCCACGCCCGCTGGGTGTGGAGCGGGTATCTGCTGGTGAGTGCCCTTCCGTTCTCGTGCTCAGATACCCAGGTATAAAGGCCAAGGCGAGAAGAAGACGAGCAGGCGGAAGCCGGGCGCCAAGGTAACGAGAGCCACACCCTCCCCAGGGCTCCCTCCTGTGCCCCCTGCCCCGCGCCTGGACGCTGATGGGGACCTCGTTGGCCTTGCAGCCACGGGCAGGAGGTCAGGGCCCCTGCGTCCCGCGGACGGTTCCGCTCTGAGAGCCCTCCGGCCCCCCGTCCCTTCCCCCCCTGTACCCGCCTTCCGGCACCCCCACCCGCAGTGCTGCGGTGCTGAGTGCCAGCCCCCCCGCCCCCCCGGGCACACGCCCCTGCTCGGTCCCTGTGGCGGCTCAGAGCGCAGCGAGCACCCCCCGCCATGTGCAGGGCCTCAGCACCCGCCGAGGCCAGGGGCAGGACGCTGTCAGGGAGTGCCAGCCCTGCCGGAGCCCCACCGGTCTCTGCTCTGCCGCCACCCCCGGGTGCTGTCCCCGGAGCGGGCGCAGGGAGCCCCTCAGACACGCGGCAGACCGCAGGTGCGGCCGCTCCCAGGCAGGCAGACGCTTCTTGTTCACAGTGAGATGCTTCGGGTGACCACGTCAGAGCGCGGGCCTCTCACCGTCGGTTTCATGTGTCTTAGGGGGAATGCCTGGAGGAGTTTCGCTCTTTTCCTTCTCGCCCTTAAGAAACGGCACCTCCTAACTTGTTCCTTGTTTGAAAACACCGGGCAAGCCCAGCTTTGTCACTGATGGGGTCCTGTGCGCTTTCTCTGCTCTTGGAGGGAAAGCCAGCGTGATCGTTGGGACTTTCTGTGGGTCACACCCATCGGTGCTCAGGAGTTACTCCTGTGTCTGTGCTCCGGCATTAAGACAGGCAGGGCTGGGGGCATACCGGGTGCAGTGGTTGGACTCCGGGTTGGCCATGTGCAAGGCAGGTGCCTTCCCACTTGTGCTGTCTCTCCGTCCCATCCAAATGTTCATTTTAGTGGATGGGCCTTACACACACACACCCCCCCCCGACTGGAGGTTCTTCGCACTCACAACCTGAGTGGTGGGCCTTGCACACAGACACATAGTCACACTCTCACCCCTAAGAGGTCTGCTCGTGCCACAGGTAGCAGGCGGCCTGAGCAGCGCTGCCCGCCCTCTCAACTCACACCCTAATCAAGCCTGGGGCTCGTGACTCAGGGCTTTCCACTCCTGCTTGCTGTCACCTATGGGTGCCGTAGCTGAGTGGTGTTCATCAGTGGGAAACCACAGACCTCTGGGCAGTTGTTTGCCAGGCACAGGGCAAAACTGTTCTCCAGAGACTGGCAGTTTTAAATGAGATGGATCTCAAGTGGTTAGAGTGTCAGCCGACTCCTGCCATTGTGCTCTGTGGAGTCGTGTCACTGTTGTAGTCACTTCCCAGCCCCTCACAGCCAGTCATAGCAGCTCTGGCCGTGGGATTCGGGCCAAGGACCTTCGGGAAAGGAATGCAGTCGTGTGTGAGGTTGGAAAATAGTCTTGCATGACTCCTGTTTCTGCCCTTGACATCACTGCATTACGGGCAGTGTTGGTCACACGGGGTCTGGATAGTGTTTTCCAGACTCTTGTTTTCTAGGGATTTGGCTCTTGTGGGATAGAGTCTGTTTCTGCTGTTCTGGGCACTGCTACCTTCTCGCCCCGGAGAACTGGTCGCTGACTAAGATGTCGGATGCAGTTCTGAAGCTCAGTGGGGCGAGACCCGCCAGGTCTGTGGCCTCGGGCTTCTCCATCGGGCTGGGAGGCGGGTTGCCCGTGTCCTGGGAGCCGTAGCCCTGGCCTTTCCTGCTGCAGTGGGTGCCTGGCCCCCTTCTGGGTGCTGGCCCCTCGGCAGGACAGTTCGGTTCGTGTCATTTGGTGCCATCCCGTGCACAGGTGACAGCACGGTGGCCGTCATGGGGCCTGCTGCCCAGTCCCCTGATACTCGAAATGGACAGGACAGGTCTCTGTGCACTGAGACTAGCAGGACCAGGGAGTCGCCCCTTGTCCGCAGGACAGTTGCTGCCTGGAGGGGCTGTCCCAGCTCTTAGGACCCGCCCACAGCCTTCAGGCCCTGCCCCACACCCCACAGTCCCCAGGCCCCGCACCCTCCTCCCGGCCCCACCCCTGTAGTCACCCACGCCCCCTGCTCCCTGGTTTGAGGGCCAAACGGAGGGTGGCGGGTCTGTGGAAACGGGTTTTGCGTACGAAGCCATGGCTCGGTGAGTGGCGTGTCCCCGGAGAGTCGCGCTTCTCGGGTCCCTGCGCTGCAGAGGGGGGCTGGGCATGTTCCCCCGCTTCTCTGCTGGCGTGCGGGAAACCAGCGCTCCTCCCGCAGGAGGCTCACAGCGGCACCACCCGTGCCCCAGTGCTGGCAGGGCTGGGGTCTGCACCCAAACCGTGGGCGGGGCAGCTGGGCCCTTCCCCCGGCCCGTGCAGTGGGCCCTCAGCCCTTGGTGTTGGCCGGCTGCAGGTCTGAGGACTGGCAGGACGCGGAGGGGCCGGGCCCAGGACCAGCGTGCACCCAGGCCTGACCCGCCCTCCCTGCTCTGGCCCTGGGCCTCCGCTGGTCTGTCGGGGAGCCTGGGCTTCAGGGTGGCTCTCGAGGAAGGGAGGAAATGGGGGCCCCGAGATACACGAAATAGAGAAGTGGTTCCTGGTGAGCAGAGGAGGAGTGGAACGTCTGCCTGCAGGAGCCTCGAAGCCATGCTGGAGACGGAGCAGTGGGCGCTCCAGGAGCCCTCCCACGCGCGTGTGCACCCACACTCTCCCACACACGTGCACACACACGCTCTCCCACACACGTGTGCACCCAGCCCTCCCACACACGTGCACACATGCTCTCCCACACGCGTGCTCTTTCACACATGTGCACCACGCCCTCTCCCACACGCATGCACCTATACTCGCACACACACATGCACACACGCCCTCTCCCACACATGTGCACATGCCCTCCCACACGCACACGCACATATGCCCTGTCCTACACATGTGCACTCACACCCTCCCACACACGTGCACACACGCCCTCTTCCCACACGTTTGCATGCACAGCCTCTCCCCACGCGTGCACATGTGCCGTGCACACCACCCTGGCCTGGCTTGCACACAGACCCGGGCCCGTCCACCCGATGCCTGGCCCCCTGTGCCCCGTGTCTCCCGGTCACGGCGGCGCTTCCCTTTCCCCTCCAGAAGGGCAGCACGGAGGCCAGTGACACCAGCCTCTCCTCCAGCGACTCCAGGAGCCGGAGCAGCCGCCACCCGGCGAGCCCCGAGGGCAGGGCGGGCACGCTCTTCGGCAGGACCCGGGACGCCCGCGCCTCCGAGGACGACCTGGACGGAGATTCTTTCTTTGACGATCCCGTCCCCAAGTCTGAGAACACGTTCGGCTGGTGAGAGCCCGGCAGCGTCCGGCACAGACCCGGGGTTGCTGAGAGCGGAGTGTGCAGCTGGGCACGGGATGAGGGGACATTTGCAGCAGGAGGGAGGGGCGTCGAGGCTGGGGCCCTGAGAGGCCCGGCCTGGGAAGGTGTGCGGTGGCCGTGGTGCTGCCCGTGGGCTCAGTGGGGTGACAGTGCAGGGCTGAGGCAGGAAGTGTGGCCAAGACCCCGAGGCCTCCCTGGGGGGCGGGGGGGACCTGGACACCCTCGGGGTGTTCTGAGGTACAGCCTGCGCCTCATGGGCACCGGGTCAGTCACAGGCGCGAGGGTGAAGGGTCACCCTCATGAGCTGGGTCAGGGCTGCAGGGGGTCAAAGACTGGGTGGGGGCGTCAGGGGTCTGAGGGGTGGGTGGGGACTGCAGGGGGCCCTAGGGGGCTGGTTGTGGTTGGGCTTGGGTGGTCACTCCTGGTGTTGGCCAATGTGCACCCATCCTGGTGGGCACCGGGGACCACAGGGCGTGTCCTGGGCTGCCTGTCCGCGCCCACAGCTCTCTCCTGTCTCCTGTGGGAGCGGGAGGAGGCGCGAGGCAGTGGCTGGTGGGCACTGTCAGCTTCTGGGAGCAGGGCTGAGCGCCGTCACACGGGCCCCTGACGCATGGCCAGGCCATGCTGTGGGGCCCCACGTAACCGCCGGCTTGTCTCTCAGGAGAAGTGAGCCCGGAAAGCCGGCGGGAAGCCTGGCCCCACTGGCCGATGCGCCAACCTTGAGCAGCAGACTGGGCGCCCCGGGCAGCGTGTCCTCGAGGGAGTCAGAAGGCGAGTACCTGCGGGCAGCCCCCGTGGTCCTGGTGGGGTGGGGCCGGGAGACCCTGCCCCCTGGGCTGGGCTGCGCTGACACCCTGTGCCCCCAAGTGGTGCCGTGGGGCTTCTGCGCTGTCCTGGGTGAGGCTGAGTGACCCTCTCTCTGCAGGGCAGGACGTGAGAGTGGCCAGCGAGAAGGCCGGAGCCCTCGGGCCAGGTACTGTCCGCGGGAACCCGGCGGGAGAGGGGCAGGCGTGAGGCCTCCTGGTCCTGCACGCGAAGAGCCTGCCTGGACCTGGACAGGGGCCGCCCGGCGGCCAGACTGGGGAGGACAGCGGAGAGCAGATGGGACGAACGGTTGCCCCTGGCAGCCCTCGGACACGGCCCCTCACGACCTGTCCTCTGTCCCTGGGGGTCGTGCCCCTGCCCCCCACAGCCCGGGAGCTCACGGCCCTGCCCACTGCCCGCTTCCCTCCCGGGCTCTCTGGTGGGGCTGGGAGACCTCCCCGCCCTGCCCCCACCCTGCAGCTGCAGACCGCAGGCAGGACTGGGGGCTTGCTCTGCTCCCCTGTGCAGCACCCAGGGCTGGGCAGTGCGGGGAGGGGTGACTGAGTCCCTGTCCGTCCCCTGGGTCCCGGCGGCTGCCACCCCTCTGTTCCGCTCTCCTGGCCCAGAGTCTGCACTCAGGGGGACAAGGCCAGGCGGCGTTCCCCAGGGCTCGGGCGGCAGCCTTGTTTGATTGGCTCCCTGCGCCCCGGTGTGACCCCAGGTGGGTCACCCCAGCTCCCCGTGCCCTGGTGTGACCCCGGGTGGGGAAGGCCCCCGCGTCCCAGGGCTTCTGCCACTGTACGGGACCAGCTGGCGTCTGAGCACGCTCTCCCCGGGCACTCTGGTCGCCCTGTCCTGGCTGCTCCTCGGTGGGGCTGGTGGGTCAGACGGAGCGAGAGCGCGTCGCGTCTGTTGGGTCCCGTGAGCAGCACTTGGCCCTAGTGCCCAGTCGCGAGCGGGGACGCGGGGTGAGGGCACGCTCTGGTGCCAGGAGCCGCCTTGGTGCCCGCCCGTGTTCCCGGGGGCACGAGGACATGGTGAGCGTTCCGTGTCTTTGACGGTGCCTCCAGGTCTGTAACGGGGCCCCAGGGTAACGTGTTGGAGGTAGCAGACCGAGGTGTGCGTTTCCTTAAATGCCCTTTCCTGCTTCCGTTTCCCAGGGACGGGAGAGGACGACTATGCCGACGATTTCAATAGGTAAGAAAGACGTGACCGTGGTGGCTAAAATAAAACCAGAAAGATCTTCTCCAAGAAAATAGTCGCGTGCTATATCGATAAATCGCAACGCACGTCCACGTGTGAAAGAGGGAAGCCTGGTCAGCCCCCCGCCCCCTCCAGCGTCTCTGAGGGTCTCGGCTGTGGTGGCGACTCCAAGTCACTGGCCTCCCGCCCACTCGCACCTGCGTTGGCAGTGACCCCGCCTCACTGCCCACGGCGACGCCGACTCCCTCGGCTCCGTCTAGCGCACGACCTGCCGTCCTGGTGCCCGCGTCCTGGGGCCAGCCCTGGCAGCTCTGCCGCCCGGGGTCCTTGCCGCTTTTCCCACCCGGCGCTTCCCACCGGCCAGTGCTCTGATTTGGGACGATTCTTCCTCTTGTCGAGGTGGCTGACCTATGGGTGCTGCCCCACGAGCGGGGTTTCCACTTGGAAGCGACGTCTGTGGGCGTAGGAACGTCAGGATCGAGAGAGTGTGTCTGGCCGGGCTTTTGCCCAGTTGGGTGTTTCCCCGCAGTGCCGTGTAGGTGCATGGACAGAGGCCCAGTGGGTCTGGCCGGCGTCTCCCCCCCTGGCCACTGCGGTCATGTTGCTGCGTGCCGGAGCGGACCAGCTCCCTGCAAGGCGGAAGGACGGTGCCTGCTCTCGCGTCTGTATTTAGGGTTCTCGTTTTTCTTTCCCCTGAAATCAGTACCAGCCATCGCTCAGAGAGAAGCGAGCTAAGTATTGGCGAAGAGATTGAAGAAGACCTCTCTGTGGGCGCCGGTGACCTCAATACCAGTGACAAAGTAGGTCAGGCTGCCCTGGTGCTGCCCAGGCCCGTTGCAGCCGGCCCGGGGGACACCCCGCTGTCTGGGGAGGGGGCGGGTGGGGCATGTTGTCCTCTGCCTCTCCCAAGCCGCTGTCCAGGGGACATGGGGACCCGCCCGAGCACACAACTCCTGGTGCCTGGCCAGAGTCGGCCTGGGTTCAGATGCGCGTGTGGCGGGGACCACTCCTGCCGGGCCCTTAGGTTGTGCCGAGTGTCTGGGTCTCCCGTCCCTTGCTCTGACCTTACCCTGTGTCCTCTCTGCACGGCGCCTGTGGAGGCCGGCAGTGTCCCCCGGAAGTTGCTAGAGCTGCCCGGGCTGTTTCCGTGGCCCTGTGCTGCGGGTGCCACGTGGGCCTGCGGTCCTCTGGGAGAAGGAAGGCACAAGGAGGCTGCTGTGGAGAGCTGTCCCGCCCGGCCACCCGTGGCCAGGGCCGCCCACAGCACGGGCACCCGCGTTGGCTGACCCAGCTCTCTCCTTTCCTCGCCCCAAGCTGGACGAGCTGACCCAGGACCTGAGCATATCCCAGCTCAGCGACGTGGCCGACTACCTGGAGGACGTGGCGTAGCGCCCGAGGTGGGCGCTGGGAGCCCCACCCGTGCCCTGTGCTCGGGACTGGCAGATCTCGCAGAATTGACTTTGGACTCCACAGACGAGATGCTCTGAGCCGCTGTGAGAGCCCCAACGCCCGGCACTTGGCTTGGCCACACGTTTCTCCCGGAGGCCGACGGTTTATGCTGTGCTGGTTGCGGTCAGTATTGAGGCGGCCGTCCGCGTGGCCGCTGGCACGGCCGGCTCGACGGTCCTGAGCCGCTCGCCAGGAGGCGCCTCTCGAGCTGGCCGAGTGCCCGGGGACTCGGAGCACTGCAGCCCTTCACTGTGAGCCCAGCACCGTGCCCGCGGCCTCTGCTTTCCTTCCGGGACTTTCATCACCGTGGCGGCGATTAAAGTTGGCGTGTGTGAGGTGGTTCTGCGTGGTCATTCCCTGCCGCTGTGGCCCTTGCTGTCCTTTGGTTGCCGACAGCTGACGGGGCTGCCTTGAGGCACAGCCGATGGCCCCGCCTGGCCCGAGGGCGATGGCCGCAGCCCCCGGCACGTTCGTTCCACAGAACCTCCGCGGGAGACTCACACGGCTGCTCCCAAGTAGCCCAAACCACGCACAGATTTGCTGGACTCCAGCACTGAAAGGAACCCGGCACCGCCAGAACCAGGGTTAGAATCAGGCTCCGAGCGACTGAGGCGTGAGCGGGGCCGGACCCACGTCTGCCCCGTTTGGTCCCAGCCGGCCAGCCCACGGTCGTGCGCCCCTACAGGAGGGGCCCTTTACCCCATGCACCCCGAGTGGAGGGGACTGCGACCCCTAGACACCCCCAGAGCAGGGACCCGTGACCCCATCCACCTCTGGAGGAGGGACCCGTGACCCCATGCACCTCGAGGTGCCGTGCTCACCTTGCCACACGGTCTGGCCCGTCTGTTGCCCCCCGTGACCACCCCGTGGTGTCAGGAGCTCCTGGGGCTGCTCCCCTGCAAGGTTGTGTGTGATGAGCCTAGAGCAACTCTTGGGGTGGGTTTTCTAGGACTTCCTGTTGCCACCAGGAAGGACGGGGAGAAACATGGCAAACTGGAACAGTGGCATCTCCACCTGTACATGTGTGTGAGCGTGGGGGGTGGGGCCCTGCACGTGTGTGTGAGCGTGTGTGTGTCCCAAGTGTGTGGGTGAGCCCTGGTGTGAGAACCTGCACACAACATTCCTGAGTATGTTCCTTAGCGTGCCCAAGCCCATGTGGGGTGTGTGTGTGTGTGTAGCCTCGCGTGTGGGCCTACATGTGTGTGTCCTCAGAAAGGCGTCTACGGGCTCTGAGGTGGTGTTTTCCTCCTTCAGCTGGACGCGGAGGCAGGCTGGGCTCTCCCAGAAGTTCACTGCCCCGGGAGGGAAGGAGGTCGGGACTTGGGCCTCGCATGGACGTCAGCTGCCCACCCCAACCCCGGGGTCATGGACAGGGGCAGCCCTCTCACTGGCCACCAACTCCAACAGCGGTCTCACTGCGGCCATACCAGGTGTGGAGCGCATGGCCCTTCTTGCTGGTGCAGGTGACCTTAAGGGGAATGTCCTCAGGAGGGGACACCCCTAGGTGCAGGACCCACCCGGGTGGGTGGGTCTCGTACGCCAAGCCCCCTGGCCTCCTGCAAGTACCCTGAGTGGGGCTTCTGTTAGGGCAGGTGCCACCTTTCCAGAGGGAATGTGGGGACCCCCTTGCCCCCTGCTCTAGCCATGGCCCTTGTCAGCGGTGCCCAAAGCAGTCAGGGCATTGCTGAGGGCAGGTGGCAGGGCGGGGGTGGCACTGATGGGCTGAGGTGTGGCACCTCCCTTCTGGCCACACACCAGCTTTTTGGCCCCTTGGACAACTTCCAGGGCCCCAAATCAGACCTTCGGGGCAGGCCAAGCAGGGGCACTGCAGGTGCATTGTGGGTACGGGGGGGGGGGGCGGTTGGCCACTGAGAAGCAAGTGACCAGGCACGCCCTGGGCAGGCACCTGGGCTGGCAGATACTCCGGCAGTGTCCACAGGCCAAGCCAGGGAGCGTTTGTTGGCGCACTGCCAGCAGGCATGTCTGGAGTGGCCCTTCTGGGCTGGCCCCGAGAGGCCCCTGTCTCCGCAGGCTGGGGTGTGGCCACTTCCCCCCACGTCCCAGACTGGGCATCATGTAGGCACTGCGGCCTCGGGACAGGGCTCCGCCAGTCTGAGGACCAGACCTCGGGGCTCCTGACAACTGCAGGCACAGCTGGCCAGGCACCCTGGGTCAGGAGCTTCTGTCCTGGAGCCTCGTTTCCAGCCGCTCCCCCAGTAGGACGCAGAGGGCAGTGTGGGGCAGATCCCCCTGCAGAGTGGCCATCAGGAACAGGAGCCCAGGGTTCCACTGCCTGAGGGCCGGGGGGGGGGGGGGGGGGTGGCGGGATGGGTGAGGAGGGGCAGAGGGACACCTCCGAGCCAGCAGGGCCGAGAGGAACTCTGCGAAACAGGACTGTGGGCGGTGGCCTCCTGGAGGGATCCCGGGGGTGGGCAGCAGCCTCCTAGAAAGAGCCGCAGCGTGGACAGCAGCCTCCTGGAGCGATCCCGGGGTGGACAGCGGCCTTCTGGGGCCTGCGGTTCCTCCAGGTGCCAAGAGCACCCCTGGCTGCCCGTTGGCGTCGTCCTCCTTGTCCCCAGAGCCTACTTCCTCATCTGGCTTCCCGTATGTAAAGCACGGACACATGACCCGGCCAGCCACCACCAAGCATGAGTCACCACCCCCCACCACGGAGAAGCCCCGAAGGCCCCTCAGCCTCCCTCACGCCTCCCCCGGTGGGCTGAGTTCGTCCCCGGCAGCCGCGAGCTGACCACATCCCCGTGGGCTTCACGAGACGCCACTCTGGGGCTAGACAGCCCCTGGCCAGTGGGCGGCAGGACACGATGGGGCACTTGCCCCTGCCTGGGCCTGTACTCATGGCCACAACCGGACCATGAGTTGGGAGGGGACGGCTCCTGTCCACCTTGGGCAGGCATCCCCGTCCTCCCCGGGACCACGGACGGCAGCAGGGTTGGGCCACGTGGGCCTGGTCTCATCCAGATAGGCTCCTCCCTCACCATGACCCAGAGACCACTGCCCAGGGCGGTGCCCCATCCCTGTCCTCAGCCCCCCGGGCAGGGGACAGGGAGCAGGGCTCCCTGAGCCGGCAGCAGGGGGCGTTGGGCAGGGCAGGCTGGCTCACAGGGCTGAGTCGGGTGCTTCTGCCCGCAGGCACAGAAACACCTCCGGGGTTTGCGGTGTGGACGCAGGCACAGCTCGCCCTCACTTCCTGTTTGTCTGCCTCTCCAGCCGCATGCGGCCAGGCGCGCCCCAGAGCATCGGGACGAAGGGCCCAGCCCCGGCTGCCTCGGGGACTGGTGAGCAGCAGGGCCGAAGCAGGGACACCAGAATGTGCTGGAACGTGCTGGAACGTGCAGGAACGTTCGCTAGACAGCTGCCACCGCAAACTCCCGTTGTGCTTCTGGCCCAGAGTCTGGGGTGGCCCCGGCGTGGGCCAGGCAGGACTGGGGGCGGGGCAGACCTTCCCTCCAGAAGACCGCATTGCCCCCGCCCGCCCGCCCCTACTCCCCACAGCCCCGACAGCCAGGGAAGGGCCCGGCCCAGCCTGCCCCACGCTGTCAGCCAAACAACACGTTTGTCTTGTCGTTGAAGCCTCTGGCACGGCAGGACACACGCGCACGGGTGGTGCATGGACCGCCCTGGGCCAAGGCTGCCCTGCCCTGCCTCTCCCTCCCTCCCTCCCCTCTCCCTCCCTCCCCGTCCCTCTCCTTCTCCCTCCTTCCCTCCCTCTCTCTTGCTCTCCATCCCTCGCCCCTCTTCCTTTCTTTCTGTCCCCCTCTCCCTCTCTCCAACTTACTTGGGATTTGGGGTCGCAGCTGGTGGTGTTTCGGCCTGACCCCGGCTCTGTTAGGGACCCCTCCCGGGGAGGCTTGGGGGGCCAGTTCTAGGTGGGGGCCACAGACCAAATGGGCCGGCCGCATGGAAGACGCTTTCCCTGTTTTCTCTCCGGCGCCTGCGCCCCTGCCTTCTCCGGGAGCCTCAGCTTCCCCCAGATCAGTTTCCACAACACCCCAACACCCACCACGGCCACTGAGCCTGCGGCAAGGGAGGAGGGAGAGCAGGGAGGGAAGGTAGGAGAGCATGGGGAGGAGGGTGGGGAGGAGGGAGAGCAGGGGAGGAGGGTCAGGAGGGGAGGAGGGAGAGCAGGGGAGGAGGGTGGAGAGGAGGGGAGCAGAGGGAGTAGGGACAGGAAGGGAGGAAAGAGATCAGGGAGGAGGGAGGGCATGGGGAGGAGGGGGAGCAGGGGAAAGAGGGTGGGGAGGAGGGAGGGCATGGGGAGGAGGGGGAGCAGGGGAAAGAGGGTGGGGAGGAGGGAGAGCAGGGGAAAGAGGGTGGGGAGGAGGGAGAGCAGGGGGAGAAGGGTCAGGAGGGGAGGAGGGAGAGCAGGGGAGGAGGGTGGGGAGGAGGAAGAGCAGGGGGAGAAGGGTCAGGAGGGGAGGAGGGAGAGCAGGGGAAAGAGGGTGGGGAGGAGGGAGAGCAGGGGGAGAAGGGTCAGGAGGGGAGGAGGGAGAGCAGGGGAGGAGGGTGGGGAGGAGGGAGAGCAGGGGGAGAAGGGTCAGGAGGGGAGGAGGGAGAGCAGGGGAAAGAGGGTAGGGAGGAGGGAGAGCAGAGGGAGAAGGGACAGGAAGGGAGGAGGGAGAGCAGGGGAAGAGGAGGAGCAGGGGAGGAAAGAGATCAGGGAGGAGGGAGAGCATGGGGAGGAGGGTGGAGAAAAGGGAGAGCAGAGGGAGGAGGGGGAGCAGGGGAGAGGGGCGAGGAGAGCGGGGAGGAAGGGTGGAGGGTGCACACACAGGGCACTCCCGGCCCCGCTGCCCTGTGACGTGGTGTCCTAGGGGGTGCGGGCTCCGCTCGCTTCGCTGTCCTGACTTGAGGTGAACACCGGCAGGAGCTCGGCCCGCAGCCCTGGGCTCAGGGCATCCTCCCGTTGGTCAGAGCTTCCTGAGCTGTGGCCCGTCAGCTGTCCTCGCTGTCCACTCTCAGGCCGTCCTTAGCCAGCACTTTGGTTTCTGGAGGACGGGCCCATTTGCACTAAGTGCAACTCCTGGGAAAATCGGATTTAAAATTTGATCTTATCCCCCCTCCCCCCGCCCACTTTCCTTTTCTCGATTACTGGTGGGATTGATCCTGTGAATTTCTTACTGCCGTGACCCTGGGGGGGACCCCGTCAGCCACCCGCCCCCTGGATGCGCAGAGATCTCCTGCCCCCCTGCCCCCCGACCCAGACCAAGGCTGGGAAAGCCTAGGGGCTGCTCTGGGCAGGGCCGGGGCAGGGTACCCCCCACCCCAAGACCCTCGCTGGAGCAGAGTGTGAGGGTAAAGCCGGCAGGGGGCGCTGCCCCACCCACCGCGGGGAGTGGGGAAGCCAAGCACAGCCTGGAGCCAGCAGGACCAGCCCCGAGGCCGCTGGGCAGCCGTCACGCTGACCACGTGCGGACAGGACATGCGGACCTGTGGGGCCAGGGTGTCCACCCGCCCTTGAGGTTCTAATTCTCTCTTTTTTTTTTTTTTTTGCTTTTTGGGTCACACCCGGTGATCCACAGAAGTTCCTCCTGGCTCTGCACTCAGGAATCACTCCTGGTGATGCTCGGGGGACCCTATGGGATGCTGGGAATCGAACCCGGGTCGGCCGCGGGCAAGGGAAATGCCCTACCTGCTGTGCTATCGCTCCAGCCCCTAATTCTCTGTCTCTGTCTCTGTCTCTGTCTCAGTCTCTGTCTCGGTCTCTCTCTCTCTCTCTCTCTCTCTCTCTCTCTCTCTCTCTTTCTTTTAAATTAAATTATCTTGAGATTTAATCACAGTTACAAAGTTGCTCATGACTGGGCTTCAGTCATACAATGTTCCAACACCCGGGCTCATTCCCCAGCATCAGGGTCCTCAGGTTCCTCCCCCCCCACCGCAGACGCTTGCCTTCCCTCTCTCCCCCACCCTCCCTCCTACTCTGTCTCTGTCTCTCTCTCCCTTTATCTCTCCCTCTCTCCCTCCCTCTCTCTGTCTCTCTGTCTCTCTCTCTCTCTCTCTGCTTGAAGTTCTTACAGAGTGAGCCAGTGAAGTCGCGCTTGACGTGGTTTGCAGCCCCGTTACATGAAGCAGGAATTGGAGAGAGAGGAGACTGCGAAGGCCACAGACCCCGAGAGCAGCTGAGCGGTCACTGCACGGCGACAGGTGGGCTGGGTGATGCTGTGTGCAGTGGTCAGCCAGAGACAGACTCACTTACCTGAGGCCCAGAGAGTGGTCGGGGAGATGTGCTGTGGTGGGGGAGGCCTGGACCGGCCTGGCCCAGAGAGGAAGGGCCTGAGGGGGAGTAGCCGGGCAGCAGGGCCAAGGCGCCCGGGCTCTGGGCGGCTAGAGGGTGGCACAGCTCTACATCCAAACCGCAGTCGGTGACAGTTGAAGCCGACACCCAGAGCACGACCGCCCAGCTTAGCAGCAGGGGCCGAGGGGGCAGCCTGGGCGGGCCAGGGCTCGACTGGGACCAACTCGGTAAGTCCTGGTGTCAAAATAAAGATTCACTTTAGGAGGTTAAAAGAAATAGATGACGAGATCAATTAGAAGGGAGGGGCTGGAGCAATAGCACAGCGGGGAGGGCGTTTGCCTTGCACACTGCCGACCAGGATTCGATTCCCAGCATCCCAGATGGTCCCCTGAGCACTGCCAGGAGTGATTCCTGAGTGCAGAGCCAGGAGTCAGCCCTGAGCATCGCCGGGTGTGGCCCAAAAAAGAAAAAAAAAGATAAATTAGAAGGGAAATAGGACATTTAAAGAGGTGTCTGGCAAAAGCAGTTCTAAACGGGCTTGTTGGCTACGAATGCATAAATCAAGAAAAGAGAAAGCCCTCAGATAAACAGCCCTACTTTATACCACCAGGGTCTTGGGATAGAAGGACAAGCCCAGCCTCCTGACAAGGAGGCCCAGAACCCGGGCAGTGACAGGGCCACAGGGGACAATGGACGCTGAGTCAGGTGCTGGGTTCTGTGTGTGGTTTTTTGATTTTTGTTTTTTTTGGTTCTTTTTTTGCAGGGGTCACACCCAGCAATGTTGAGGGGTTCCTCCTGGCTCTGCACTCAGGAATTACTCCTGGGTTTGAGGGACCAAATAGGATTCCGGGGGCTAGAACCGAGTTGGCCACGTGCAAGGCGAACGCCCTCCCCGCTGTTCTGTCACTCTCGCCCCCTGAAGTGCCATTTTCATTCGAGAGGATCTACGGACTGGCAGGCCCTGGTGTAGGAGCAGCAGGTGACGGCGCAGATAGGACAGGGTACGCCAGTGAAGAGCCCTGGCTGGCACAGGTACACCCCAAGCCCCCGCCCTGTGAGCTGCCGGGCTGAGTCATATAGAGACGACAGGCATAGACGTCCCTGCCAGTAATCAGATGTGGCATCACACGTCTCACACGCACCGCGGGACGGTCAGCCTGGGGCTTGGGGCTCACGAGCTTCGAGGCGGCCAGTGGTCCGAGAGGCTGCCTCCGACTAAGTGCTCTGTGGGGGCACCCTGGGGCTCCCTGCTGATCCCGGGAGAGGGGACAAGGGGAGCGAAGAGGGCGGCGGGGGACGGGCCGGACACAGATGTGGGTCTCTCCCCTCGGGCGAAGGAGAGATTTGGTAAAGGGGCGAAAAATGGGAAGTGGAGCAAGGAAACCTTCAACAGGTGGAGCTGGGAAACTGGCCGGCACGTGCTGAACATGAACTCTGACCTCTGACCCAGGCGGAAGTCAGATCAAAACGGATTAAAGGCCTGGTCAGACCCGAGCCCCCCCAGACCAGCTGACAACTAACGAGACCCGCTGCGTAGTGGTACTGACCAGCCAGGACTCGTCAGTGACCTGCTCGGACTGACCAGGGAGGTGTGGATGGGCCCCGGGGAGCAGGCACGTGGCCCAGCACACATGGGGCTCGGCACTCTGCAGACTGGACAGGTGCTGAGGTGGGCAAGTGGCAGTGGACGGTCCTAGGCCGTCTCTGTATGCTGGTGTTTCAGCACTGAGCACTGAGTCGGAGGCAGCCCCCGGACCACCAGCCGCCTCGAGGCTCGTGGGCCGAAACCCCCTGGGCTCACCATCCTGCAGTGCATGTGAGACGTGTGATGCCACATCTGATAATCTGGCAGGGGCCGTCAGACACTCGGAAACAACTGGGCAACAAGTGGCAGGGAAGTTGACAAGTTCAATGGCAAGTCTGACGTGGAGGGGGGGGGGGGACACACAAAATACTGACCAAGGGTCTGGGAGGGGCGTGGCTGCCGAGGATGCTTCTTCGGTGGCTGGCAGACCCGAGGAGGTCGTGAGGGCCGTGGCCAGGTGGCGAGGCCCTCCGGGCTGTCCCCGCGGTGTCCCTGACTCGAGCAGTGTGCCTCCTGTGTGGCCATGCCCAACTGCCCTGTCACAGCCTGTGGTCAGCCTCCAGGGACCCAAGTCTGTGGCCGAGGACGGTCGTGGGTGGACGGGGCAGAGTCAGGTGAGCTGAGGCAGGGCTGTGTGGGGCTGGGTGGGGACAGGGCATGTCTGGGAATGCTGGCCGCTGGCTGGAGGGCTCTGGTCGTGGGTGCGAGGACCCGGAGAAGCCCTCAGAGCCGAGTGAAACTCCAGGGTCTCAGGGGTGGCAGTGTCCACAGGCCCGTGACAGGCATCGGCGTGTGTGCGTGGGCAGCCCCCAGCACCCGCGGAGCCCGGCCCAGGGGACAGAGTCAGGCAGGCAGCACTTCAGGGGCACGGTCACACCCAGCACTTGGGTTTCGTGCCCCTGAAGCCCCTGGTTCCCAGGAGGCCACATGGCCGGGCCCTGCCAGGCCCAGGGAGCGGCAGAGCTCAAAGCAGCTTCCGCCCAGCTGGTGCTGAGGGACTAAGGAACAGGCAGCAGGGGGAGCTGGGACCAGGTGCCCCTCAGACAGTGCTCTTCCACCACAGGGAGGGGAGAGGACACCGCCCAGCCCCTCTCAGCTCCGGGCGGAGAAGACCGGCAGGCCGAGCATAGCTGCATGAGCCTGGCCTCTGCGAGCACTGTGCCGGGAAAGCCCCTGGGGAGGGACAGGCCCCCAGCGTGCAGAGGCCAGTGTGCAGGTGGGGGCAGCCTCGGGTGGCTGAGGGAGCCGAGGGGGTGGGAACAGCCCAGGCTGGATGGACCTGCGGACACAGGGCCCGGATGCCTGGGGTGGCCAGGCGGAGCCGAGGGCGGGTGGACACGCCTCTGACCTTGCCTCTGGAGCTCCAGAGGGGCAGCAGCATCGACGGGACTTGCTCTCACCTTCCCCGCATGCTTGGCCTGTGGCAAAGAGGAAAAACTGCCAGTGAAGGGAGACGGAGAGGGCCGGAGCCACAGCAGAGCGGGGAGGACGCTGGCCTTGCACGCGGCTGACCCGGGTCGGGTCCGATCCCCGGCCTCCCAGTCGGCCCCCCAAGCACCGCCAGGAGCGATTCCTGAGGGAGGCAGGAGGAAGCCCTGCGCATCGCCGTGGCAGCCTCCCCTCCGACAGCAGAGAGCGGAGAGGAGCGTCCTGTGATGGGCGCTGACCAGCCCTGGGCTCTGGTGGACCGCCCTGGGTCGCAGCTCCTTGCAGGGCACCACAGGGGACCTGCGAATTATGGTGGTCACCACTGCTGCCCCAGCCCGTGTCAGGGCTCTTCATTTGACAGCTCTGTGGCAGCGAGGCAGCGGCCACCCGGGCCCAGGGCCAGTGGCCGGCGAGCCCTTTGCGGGGAGAGGGAATCCCACGTCTGCCACGGCCCAAGGCTGGCCGATTCCTGCGGCTTCCGGGGAATGAGGACGTGAGCTCCCACCAGGCCGCCCGGAGACCAGGGGAAGCGCTGGCCGGAGGGCTCTGACTCAGGCCAACCATGCACGGTCACTCTCCGGTCAGTGACGGGGGAGTCTCAGAAGCCGCCCCACCCTCCCCTCCTGGCGGCCGCTGTCCCTGGCCTCCACTCCAGACGCACTCGTGTGTGGACGCTGCATCTCGGACGACGGGACTGTGGGTCAGACGCATTGCTCTGGGCAGAGGCAGAGGCCCCCGCCTGCCTGCGTCCACCCCCTCAGCGCAGACTCCAGGGGCTGGTTCAGACGGGGGCGGGGTGCCTACAGGCCCCCAGCGCCCGGTGTGGACCTGGGTCCCACCCGCAGTTCCCGGCTTTCGAAACTTTCCTCGGAGAGCCCAAGGTGGTGTGGCTGCAGGGGGTGACGCCCCCAGAGAACCCGCTCCCTCCCAGCCGGGTGATTTCCAAGAACCAAGAAACCTCCCCCAGAATAACCCTGAGAGGCAGGTCTGTGTCTCCGCCAGCACCTGTGACCTAGTTCCAGCACCACCGTCCCCGCCTCGAGGGCTGAGCTGGAGCAGAGCCAGGCTGCGGTGAGCGGCTCTGCCACGCCCGGCACGGGACACGGGCCTCAGGGGCAGCCACGCAGGGCAGCTTCACGGCAGCTGCAGGCAGGAGCAGGAGAGAACCTTCCAGAAGGGCGGTGAGTGCGGGGGTCGGGGCTCTGGGCGGCTGGCCTGGCTCTTCCCGGGCCTCCTGCTGGGGCAGACACCCTGCTTCTCCCTCTGGTCCCGGACCCCCGCGGGCGCCAGGCGTGTTCCTGCACCCGGAGATGCCGGGAGGGGATGGGCCTGGAACGCCCTCAGGGCGCAGCTGGACAGGTCCAACCCCCGCGAGCCCCAGGTGGGAAGGGGACCAGCAGCCCTGGGGGCCCGGTGGGGCGGCGTGAGAAGGCCCAGGGCGGCCACCGAGCCGAGGCCACGCGAGGAGGGGCGGCAGGAGGCAGGAGCTCCAGAGGGTGCGGTGACACCTTGGGGTGCCCAAGGCCCACTCCAGTGAGGCTGGACGCAGGGTCCAGGCCGCACCCCTGATTTTCAGGGGCAGAAACGCTGGCTGGAGGGTCCACGCCAGTGTCCAGGGCTCAGGCAGCGGCTGGGGAGAGCACGTCTGCACTCTAGTGTGACCAGCCCAGGGCCAGGGCAGGTGAGTGTGCAGAGAGGCATGGACAGCTGAGACCCGCCCAGGGTGCGGCGGCCAGGGCGGGTGGCACAGTGTCTCCTCGGTTTCCACCTCTCTCGGTGCAGCCGGCGGGTGAGGCTGGGTCGGGTGCGGCTTGCTCAGGGAGTCTGCTCTCGGGCTGGGCTGGGCAGGGCCAGTGCCGTCTGGGCTGGAGGTGGACACGGCCAGGCTGTGGCCACATTGGGGGAGAAGCTGGACCACAGAGCCTCGCACTAGCCCCTGAACCCGGCCAGGGGGCAGACCGCCTCTTTGGGGAATGTTGCTGCGGCAGGCGGGGCCAGTGGCCAGCTGACCGGGGCCTCATGATGACCCCAGAAGGCCCCTCCAGCAGGAAGCCGCCAGTGTGCTGACAGCTAAGGGGCACTTCCCTGGGCAAAGGCTTCCCAAGTCGGGACTGTCTCCAGGGGAGAGGGCCGAGCGGCAGGGGCAGCTCTGAGGGGAGGTGGTCGTCCTCGGAGGCGGCTCGGGAGGGGACCCCAGGTGCTGCAGACCCAGCCGGCCTCAGCCCTCACCACACCTACCAGCTCCAGCCCATGGAGCTTTCCAGAACATTCCTGCTCCCGTGCGCTCCCGGAGGGCCCGGCGTCCTCCGCTCCATGGTCAGCCCTGCAGCTGGGCTGACGTCCTCTCGTCCCCATGGCCCCCGGCGGCACCGTGTCCTCTGGGAGCACTTTGCCTGTCTGCTGGCCCTTCTGAGGCACCAGACGCGAGTCAGGGTCGCCGCGTGCACGAGGCCGGCAGAGGCCCCAGTGACGGGCCCAGGAACGTGGCTCCCGGTGGGGCTGGGGAGTGGTGGCCATCTGTCTCAGGGGGGCCCGAAGGTGAAGGGGACACACAGGTTCCCATGGCTTTGGGGAGAAGGGGCCTGAGCCAGCTCAGCTCGGGGGCCGGAGGCCGGCAGGAAGTGACCAGCACCAGCCAGAGCCAACTCAGCTCACTGCGTGCTGAAGCCGTGGGGGCAGGGGGCACAGATACACACAGACACATAGGTGACACTCATGCACATACACGCAGACACATAAATAACACACATGCACATACACACACGCATAAATGACACACATGCACATACATGCACACAGACACATAAACACATAAATGGCACACATGAACATACACACAGACACATAAGTGACACGCATGCACATACACACAGACACACAAATGACACACATGCACACACACAGACACACAAATGACACACATGCACACACACACAGACACACAAATGAAGGGCAGGGTCGTCCCAGGTCTCAGGAACTGCACAGCCCATCTGTCCGTCCGTGCAGTCAGAGCGCAACTCAGAGAGCAGAAAGTTCCTCAGCCCCATATCCAGTGAGGTGGACCCTGGGGTGACACCACCTGTCATGCACATACATGCATAAATGACACGTATGCACAAACACATCACACGTAAATGACATGCATGAACATGTATGCACATGACACATAAATCACACACATGCACAGACAACACATAAATGACACATGCACATACACACATGGCACAAACGACACGCATGCACATACATACAGGAGGATAACACAAACATGTGCACAGGCATGTGCACACATGATCACACATGAGCATGTAACACAGCATATAAATGTGCACGTGTAACCACACAGTGATCACACATGAGGACAGGTGGACCCGTGATCACACGCACACGGCATGTATATGCACAAAAGATGCGCGCACGTGGACCCACACTCGGCACGGCGAGGCAAGCACACACTAGGCTCTCTTGGGGGCAGTTTCCTGCCGGTCCCTGCAGCGTGGCGGCAGCTGGACCTCGGGGTCCTCGGCAGAGCCCGGCCGCTCCCCCAGCCTCTGCGTGTGCCACCCGGCTGCCGTGGTCTACCGTGGCTCACACCTGTACGGAGCCAGCCGTGGACGCTGTGTTCTGCACCGCACAGACGCAGGAGCAGCTGGGGGCAGCGCTGGCGGCGGCCAGCTCAAGTGTGAGAGCCACGTCTCCGGGCCGCGCCCTGCCACCGCCCAGCCCCGCCACCGTCCTGGTCTATGAAAGGACGGCCCGGAGGCTCTCAGGCCATAGTGCTCCAGCTTTGAGTGGGTCCGCACCTGTGCTGAAACTTCCCTTGAGCTCAGACAGCCTCTGGGGCCACCTTCCAGGTGGGGAGGAGGGACCCAGGACGTTTTTCCCCACAGAGACCACCCGGGGGAGGGTCTCAGTGTCCCCACGGCCCCAGGTCCAGCCTGTTGCTCCCCTCCCCACCGCTGACGAACCCCCAGGGCTCCTGCGCCCAGTGCTCAGGACCTTGGGCTCAGGATGACCCTGCCCGGGCTGGCCCTGTTTCCAGATTCCAGGAAGCCCCCAACCCTGAAGAAGGGGTGGGACCCTGCACCGGCCCCCCACCCTGAGGGCAGCATCACACAGCAGGGCTGTGGGCAACAGGACTGGGCAGAGCAGGACCAGCCGCCCTGGGCCCTGCCGCCTTCTGCTGGCCGTCCTATGGGTGCATGGTCTCACGGGGCCACATGGGGCCACAGGCTGCTCAGTGGCCTCCTGGTGGTGCTTGGGGTCATTCCTGTGAGCTCAGCTGAGACCCCGGCACCTGGTTGCAGAGCCTGTGGTCAGCCAGGGAGCCTCCCCCAGCCCCAGGCCACTTCACTTGTTTGGGTGTGGGGGCACAGACTTTTTTTTTTTTTTTTGCCTTTTGGGTCACACCCGGCGATGCCCAGAGGTTACTTCTGGCTCTGCACTCAGGAATTAATCCTGGCCGTGCTCAGGGGACCATATGGGATGCTGGGAATCGAACCTGGGTTGGCCGCGTGCAAGGCCAACGCCCTCCCCGCTCTGCTATTGCTCCAGCCCCGACAGACATTCTTGACTCCGTGCTTGGGGCTCACTCCTGGCTCTGTGCTCGGGGCTCACTCCTTGCTGCATGCTCTCTCCATGCTGTGTCCTCCTCAGAGCTCAGGCCCCTGTGGCCCCACTCTGCCTGGAGGGTCAGAAAGGCAAGACGGGGGCGCAGGGCCCCCCACTGCCGTCTCCCCCCCCCCCCCCGTGACCCGACCCCTTTTGCTTTGGGAACCCTGGAAAGCCCCGTGCCCCGCCCCCAGTGAAGCCTTTTCCTTCCCCTCAGCGGCCACAGGGGGAACTTGGGAGATTCCAGGGCTCCGAGTCCCCAGTTCTGGGACAGAATGGTCTGGGGGGCTCCCACCTTCCTCTGCGCGGGGGTCTTCAGGCCCCCCGGACCCCTTCCTTCTCCCCCCCCACCCCCGCCCCACTCCACCCTCCCGGGGGCGGCTGTGAGGAAGTCACTGCTCTCAGGTTTCGCTCTGACTGCATGGCCGAGGGTCGGGTGAGGGTGAGCGGGTGAGCGGTTCCCGGGTGACCCCGCCTGAGCACCTCCCCCTGGGGCCAGTGCCCTCTGCCTCAGGCTCGGGGGTCTGTCAGGTCCCGCATGTCCTGCTCCGGTCTGGCCATTCCCACGGTCTCACCTCAGGTTGCCCCCTGCAGTGCCCGCAGGACCACTCTGCCAGGCACGCGCCCCTCCCCCTCTCCTGCCCCGTCAGGCCAGGGGCGTCCCAGGCCAGTGGGCCTGACAGCCCCTGGGAGCGGCCTCTGGCCCCTGCCCTGCGGCCAGGCGACCCCAGGTCAAGCGCACTTTTGCTTGCTTCCTAGTGCTCTCCTGCAGACCCGCCCCTGCTCCCACCTGCACCCCCACCCCCATCCACACTCAGCTGGCCAGACGGGCCCCCTGCCCAGGTGAGACACTGCTCGTGTGCCCCACCCCCACCCCTGCCCCTTCGGACCCCCCTCCCGCCCGAGGCGAGGCCCCTGCCGTTGGGTCCTGGAGCAGCCTGAGGACTGTGGACGGCACACCCCGTCTCGTCTCGCCGCCCCCAGGTTTCTGGTGCTCGGCATGCAAATGAGAGGGTAATTTTAACTTTGAGGAAGATCGTGCCCCACCGGCCCGCGGGATCCTCGAGAGCCAGGGGAGACGCCGCTCCGATCTCCCGTGAAGGACGCCGGGGCCAGGTCACAGCTCCCGGGGCACGGACTGGGGGCAGGAGGGTCAGCAGGGCCACTCAGCTCCCTGCCCGCACCCCGGGACCTGGACGGCGCCTGGCCTGCCCCCCAGGTAGGGCCGGGGTCTGGCTGCTCGGGGGTGCGGCTGCGCCCCTCTGCTCGGGTCCACGACCCCTCCTCCTGCCTTCACGGCATCTCAGGGGTCCCGAGCTTGCTGGGGCTTCGCTCTCGCTGCTTCTGCCAACCAGGACCCTAGAGGGGGCAGCGGGCGGGGCAGAAGTGCTGGGGACATGGGCCGTGGGGGCCAGGCCGGGCTGGTGCTGGCCGCTGGCCTGGGAGCACCCCAGCTGGGGCAGTGGGACGGGGGCTGCTGAGGAGGTTTGCAGGAGCCTCCATCTCCCGACTCAGCCTCGCGGCCACACGCTGGCTAACCCTTCGCTCCATCGTCACCCTTTGGGGTGCACCCGAGATGCTCGCGGGCTTCACTCCTGCTCGGTGCTCAGGGGTCACTCTGGGTGGCGCTTGGGGACCACGTGGGGTGCGGGAGATCAAACCCAGGTAGGTCGGGTGCAGGGCAGTGCCCACCCCGTCCTATGGCTCCGCCCGGGGGCTGAGTTTGAGCCCTGAGGGACAGTCGGCCTCAGGCTGCCCGAGGCCCCTTCTCAGGCCAGAGCAGGGTCTCCGCGGGAGACCGGGATGCTGCAGCATCAGTGGGGGAGGGGCTGCAGGCTGTGGGGTGCATCCAGGCTCAGAGCTGCTGGGGACCCTCACGTGCCTCTTCCGGAAGCTTCCAGGTTTTCCCTGGAGCAGGCTGCCTGGGTCCTAGCAGAGACAATGGGGGGCCGGGGGATGCGGGGTCAGGGACAGCTCCTCAGACCTCTCGTCCTCGCTGCAGTTCCTCCTGCACCCAGACCTGCCCCCCGTTCACTGGTCCAGGGGCCACGGCTGTTTCGAAACCTGCTGGGGGCCCGATACAGATCGGTGAGCCTCTGAGTGGGAAGTGGGCGCCGTGTCTGACCCCCCACGCCACGCCCTGTTGACAGGATGGAGGCTGGTGCGGTGCCTGGAAGCCCAGCCCTGAGTGCTGGTGCAGCGCCCGCCCGCAGGAAGCCAGCGGTGCCCGCTCACACGGGACAGCAGGCTAGTCACCCATGGAACACAGTGTTGCCTTACTCCCAGGCTCAGTTGGGGTCACTGCTGGGTTGGGGACTGTTTGTGGCCACACCTGGAGGAAGATGCAGCTGATCAAAACGACCAACAGATTCTGGAAAACTCCAACTGAAGGCCAGCAGGGCCAACGATGGGCAGTGGACAGGGAGCTGCCTGCCTTGTGTGCGGCTCTCCTGGGCCCCTGTGCCCATATGGTCAGCTGAGCCCCTCAGGAGTGACCGTTGAGTACAGACCCAGGAGTCGGCCCTGAGAATCGCCGAGTGTGGACCCAGCCCCCAGCTCTGCCCTCACCTGAGCACCGCCTGGGTGCATGTGCTCAGAGCCTCTCCCAGGTGGGGAGGGGGCTGGAACAGTCGGGGCTGGCAGGGGACACGGGCAGGCTGGACCCAGGAGTCCTCACAGGGTGAGGCTCTGGCAGACTGTGGGGTGGCGATTCTGGTGCCCTGCGGACACAGGACACCCGTCTGTCTTTCAACCCGTCCCCACGGAGCCCTGAGCTACAGAGAGCAGCACATGGGTTGGATGCTGCCCGTGAAATGCCCAAAGAGGAAGGGTCCATTTCTGCAAAGCAGGAAAGGACAAACGTCCAAAACGTCCAGAGGGAAACCGGGCCTATGCCCAGAGCACTGGGCGAGGGTGTGACCTCAGCCGGTCTGTCCACAGGCAGGGAGCCACCACCACGTCCAGTCTGACAGGCCACGGCGTGAGAGCCGGGGGATGGTGGGTGGGTGAGCTCTGAGTCAGACCCGGGGAGAGATGAGGGACGTGGCGGGGTTGGGTGACGTGGTGCCGTGTCCGAGAGTGTCAGCTGTGGGTGGCATTTTGCATGGGCCCTGCCACACGACTCGTGCGTGCGTCTGAGACGGTCCCGCCAGGGGGTCGCGCGTGGGCGGAGAATGAGAACGCTCACTCTGCAGCTCCTCGCGAGACTGAGGCCAGAGGTGGCACCGAGCTGTGTATGTGCCTGCTGACGTCTAGTCCCTGAGGCCGTGCACGTTGCTGAGTGCCGCTGACCCGCGCAGGCCTGTCCACTCTCCCTGCTCCGAGGCCGGCACTCGGTCCCTGCCTGTCCCAGGCTGGCCGCGCAGGGCACCGCCGTGCTCCTTCAGGGCCGTGGCTGGAGGGGCCCTCGCTGCCCCAGGCCCGGCTGTGATGCGGGTTTGCTCTCCCCGCCAGGCCGGCCTCTCCTGGAACTCGCCGCCCGCGCCGCCAGCCGCCATGATCGAGGTGAGCATGTGGCTCGGGCTGGGTGCCGCGTTCCCCAGGGTGCTGCCGGGCGCCGCGGGCCCGACACCGGCTCTGCTCTGCTCCATTTGCAGGAGATGACGCCTGCAGACTGGTACCTGGACGAGAACAGCAACACCACGTACGAGGAGTACGAGGACAGCCAGCCCTGCCTCCTGCACAAGGTGCGGGCCTTCTCCCAGCTCTTCCTGCCCAGTACCTACGCCCTGCTCTGCGTCTCGGGCCTGCTGGGCAACGCCCTGGTGGTGCTGACCTTCGCGCTGTACAAGAAGGCCAAGTCGATGACCGACGTGTACCTGCTGAACCTGGCCGTGGCCGACCTGCTGCTGCTGCTGACCCTGCCCTTCTGGGCCATGGCACACGCGCAGGGCAGCTGGGACTTCGGCAACGCCATGTGCAAGCTCGTCAAGGGGCTGTACACGGTCAACTTCCACTGCGGCATGCTGCTGCTGGCCCTGGTCAGCCTGGACCGCTACGTGGCCATCGTGCAGGCCCCGCGCTCGCTGCGGCTGCGCGCCCAGATGCTGGCGCACCGCAGGGCCATCTGCCTGGTCGTGTGGCTGCTGTCTGTGGCGCTGTCCAGCTACGCCTTCGTCTTCTTCGAGAGCTACCCGCTGCAGGGCCGCGAGGCGTGCGAGACGCGCTTCCTGGGCGTGCAGGAGCCCATGCGCTGGAAGCTGGGCCTCCTGGGCCTGCAGCTGCTGGTGGGCTTCTTCCTGCCGCTGTGCTGCATGAGCTTCTGCTACGCCTTCATCCTCCGGACGCTGCTGCAGGCCCACAACGCCCAGCGGCACAAGGCCGTGCGCGTGGTGGCCGCCGTGGTGCTGGTCTTCCTGGCCTGCCAGATCCCCTACAACACGGTGCTGCTGGTGAAGGCCGCCCAGCTGGGCCAGGTGGGCCGCTCCTGCCGCAGCGAGAAGCTGCTGGCCTATGCGGCCACCGTGACCGAGGCGCTGGCCTTCGTGCGCTGCTGCCTGAACCCCGTGCTCTACGCCTTCGTGGGCCAGCGCTTCCGCTCCTACTTCCTGAAGCTGCTGAAGGACCTGCGGGGGGGCCGCGGGGCAGCGGCCGGCCGGCCCTGCTCCAGGCACGTCAGTGAGACCCCGGACGACAACGCCTCGTCCTTCACCATGTGAGCAGGGGCCCGGCGTGGACCAGCTCAGGGGCTGTGCTTCCGGACGCCCCTGACGGCCTCCAGGGCCCCGGCCGCCCCCACGCGCTTGCAGAGTGCTGGAGCAGCAACCCCTCCCCAGAAACGGCCCTGCAGCCCCCGCGCCGCCCAAACCCCAGCCGCAGACTGAACCTCTGAGGCCCGAGGCTGCGCCCCAAGGGGGAGCTGCTGCCCCGCCGAGGTTGGGGGAAGGAGAGGCGGGCGTCGAGCAGTGACACGGCCTGGGCCACACGCCAGCACCAGCACCCACTCCAGCCCTGCCCTCCCCCGCGCAGGCCGAGAGCCACGGCAAGCTCAGCACCCGCCCTCTGGGCCGGCTGGGGCGGTGCAGAGTCTGGGAACTTGCTTTACCCAGTGACATTTCCGCATCGAGTCAGAGCCTTTCTGAAGGAGTCTGGGGGCTTCGAGGCCCCATGGAACTCGCACTGCGGTCTCGGCTGCCAGAGTAAGGGGCTTCCTCGGCCAGGCACAACAGGGCCCAGTCCACGTGCCACACACGCACGCTCAGGCCCCGTCTGGCCTGCCACAGGGCAGCCCACAAAGATGCAGCCCTGGACCGCCTCACGCCACCCGAGCCGCGGCTGCAGGGACCACCATCTGTGCAGCCCTGGGGGGGCCACTCTGCCTGCGTGACCGTGGCACCGGCTGAAGCTCCGTGCGTGAGCCCCGGCGGGGAGCAGAGTCCACGCCCGGAGGCCTCGCCCCTCTGCTCAGCGCCTGTGAGGCCACGTGGCAGCCACTGCTTCAGGACCCCGGTGCCCACTCCCCGGCAGGCAGCGCGTACCTGTCCCCCGCCTGCCCCCGCCCAGGCTTGCTCAGAGCCGCGGCCCCTGTCGCACCCGCACAGCCAATAAAGACCCTCCAGACGCTCTCCCAAGCTCCTGCACACAGTGCCCTTGCCCCAGTGCCTCCCGGAGACGGCCCTGCTGGGCAGGTGTGTCGGGGAGGGCGGGCTGCTCCTGCCCTGTGTGGGCTGAGGAAGACCCAGGACCCTGAGAGTAACTCAGGCACTGCAGCCCGGTGAGATCACCCCAACAGGTGAGATCCATTCCCACACACAGGTGAGATCCACCCGACACAGGTGAGGTCACCCCAACACAGGTAAGATACACCTAACACACAGGTGTGATCACCCCAACACAGGTGAGATCCATCCCCGCACACAGGAACGATCCACCCAACACAGGTGAGATTCATCCACGCACACAGGTGAGATCTACTCAACACAGGTGAGATCACCCTAACAGGTGAGATCCACCCAGCACAGGTGAAAGCATCCCGACACAGCTGAGATCCATCCCCCCGCACACGTGTGCGTTCAGGGCTCCACCTCTGCTTCCATCACCGTTTCCTGCTTCTGTCCAGATCACCTGTGATGTCCTGGCACCCAGTGGGTGGTCTGAGTGGTCACTGGACACCCAGAGGCCCTGGCACTAACCTCTGCTGACCACACAGCGGGGTTCGAGATGGAGCCAGGAGAGCAGTTTCCCACCGCTTTTGAGATTTGGGGATAGTGGCTGGTCTCAGGGGTGAGATCACCCCAATAGGGCAAACCCCAAGGGGCAGACGCTGCCGCGTGCCTGTGTGGCGTCCCCGGCTCCTGCACCTGCTCGTCCCCTAGGACACCCGCCCATGGCTCAACGCCTCTGTCCCTTAAACCCTCCAAAGGCCTCCTCTCTGAGGACATATGCTTCTGGGGTGCACAGCTCAGCCGTACCCACCTGCCTTCCAGGGAAAAGCCACACTTCCCATGACACCCCAAATCACGAACACGCACAGTTGGGCACACTGACCATCAAGGGCCACTCCCATCCACACCCCCCAGCTCAGCACCTCCCCCTGGTGACTGGTCCCTGAGGAGAACTCAGCCCCCATCCACGGGGCCAGTGCTGCTGTCTCGGTTCCAGAGGGGGCGCTCTGCCCCCTGCGTGCCCAGCGCTGCGCAGGATGCCCAGTGTTCTGTCCCTGGCACAGGGCCCTGCCTGCCCCAGCCCTTCCCTGCACCGTGCAGGAGGAAGGCAGCGGTCAGTGGGCCACCTGTGTGGGGGCCCGGGCAGCCTTTCCCTGCAGAGACCGCCTGCCTGGACCGATGACCACCGTTCCTCATGCCCCGTGACGTCTGTCCACGGCTGAGAAACTGGGGTCTCCTGTCTGTACTGGAGGCATCGGTGGGGAGGGGGGTCACATGCTCAGGCACTCCAGCGGGGACACCCAGCTCTCACTGGTGCTGGCCACAGCCGGACTCCTCCCCGCGGGGCTTGGGGGCTGCACCTCTGGGCCCCTGAGCTCCCTGGACAGAGCTGGACAGGGCAGAGCTGAGGCCAAGGCTGCATCGTGATGGTCGCAGGGTGCTGGCAGCAGGGTCCCTCCTGCTGACACTCTTCATCTGTTCCAGTGCAGGGAGAGGGGAAGGGGAGGCAGTGGCCACCCTCTAAGGTCATCTCCTAGATATGGTCACTCCGCCGGCCCTGCCCCGCTGGCTGGGCCATGTGGTCACACTCGTGAGAGAAAGCCTGGCCCCTGCTGTCCACACACAGGAAGGTCAGTGCCCGAGGGAGAGGGAGAGACCAGCTGAGCCAACCTCCAGGGCCAGGAGGGACAGCTGCCCCCACTCTGGGGTCCAGGAGCACGGGCGGAGCCGCACAGAGGGTGAGGGCAGCAGATGGAGCAGAGTGGCCGCGGCCTGCTCTGAGGTGGGAGGTGCTGGGGCTCTGCCTTGCCGCTGACCTGCCAGTAGCAAAGTCTCGGTCCCGCTGAGAACTGGAGAACTCCGGAGACGTAACGGGTCCTCGGAGAACACGGGGCGATGGGCAAGCACAGCGTCCCCACAGCCCAGCGGCCGGCGGCCAGCAAGTGCTTCTGGACGGGCGGGGGCAGCTCCAAGCCGCCTCAGAACATGAGGCCAGTGTGAGGACCCGTGGTCCATGGGTCTGCCTCTCCCGTGGACACTGCTGCCCTCTGCTGGACATGGGTAGTCCCCTAGTGTGCTTGGCAGCTGGCACGGGCAGCTAGAGTGGGTGTCTGTGCCCAGGCAGGGCATGGGTCCTCCTGGGGCTGTGCAGGTGGGTTCAGCTCCCCGGGCTTCCCCTCCTGCCATAAGCCAGGGCCCCTGCCGCTCCGTGCTGAGGAAGACGAGAGGCGGGAGACTGGCACCAGCTGTGCCCAGGCAGGCTTGTTTCCTGGCCTCTGCGTGGTCAGACACGGCAGTGCAGCTCCCGTCACCCTGCACTTCCCAGAACCTTCGAGGCTGGGCTTGGAGGTCCTGTCCCTGCTCCAGGCACTGAGAGGTGAGCACTGGGCCTTGCACCCAGTGGACCTGTAGGCTGCCCGGCCGGCAGTACCCAGAGGGGCGGGCACAAGCCAACGTACAGCCTTCCTGGCCACTCCTGCCCCAGGACTGCCCGCATCTCGTTCCTCTGAGCCCGGAAATGCTGCTCATGGCAGCCGTGAGTGTCCACTCTGTTCTCACGAGTGGTGTGGGCATTTGCCCAGTTCCCCGGGCGCAGGCAAGCTGGCACATGGCCGAGCTCTGTTCTCTTTCCTCTGCAAACGCTTGCCTGTCTCTGTTGCCATCTCCACAGGCCGCGTGACTGTGGGCACTTCCCTGGCAGTCACAGGCCAGGCTGCTCTGAGGCACCTTAAAGATTAGGGGCAGCCACCCAGGAGATGCTCAGGTAGAGTATCCGGAAGCTTCATACCTGTGTGTCTACTGGGATCTGCACACCTGCCGCCTGCACACCCACCTGGAGAAAGCACACCTGGGCAACTAGACACCTGAACACCTGGACACCTGCACCACTGGGCACCTGCATACTTGGACACCTGCACACCTGAGTAACTGGCACCTGCATAGCTGAACACCTAGACACCTGCACACCTGGGCACCTGCATACCTGGGCACTAGCACACCAACACACCTGCACACATGCATACCTGCACACCTGGCGCTCACCTGGGCACCTGCACACCTAGATACCTGTACACCTAGACACCTGCACACCTGTGCACTGGAGCACCTGGGCTCCTGGACACCTGCATATCTGCATGCCTGGGCACCTGCACACTTGGACACTTGCACATCTGGCACCCACCTGGACACCTGCATACCTGGCCCTCTGCACACCTGCACATCTGGGCACATGCACACCTGGGCAACTGTATACCTGGACAACTGCACACCGGAGTAACTGGACACCTGCACACCTGGACACTTGCACACCTAGACACCTGTGGACTTGAGTTCCTGGGCACCTGCACACCTGGCACACACCTGAACACCTGCATACCTGGACACCTGCATACCTGGCATCCACCAGGAATTCTTCATACCCTCTCCCTATCTAGAGATGTTCCCAATCCCTGAGTGTGGTCTGAACCACTGTGTAGAGACCAAACGCTAAGTCACAAGCTTGGTGACCTCCAACTGTGCCAGACTCTGCAGGCTATTTCAGGGGGGCATGGGATCTACATGACCACGTTTGCACAGGCCCTGCTCCCAGCCGTGTCCAGCGGCCCCACTCCAGGCTGTATCCAGCAGCCCTGCTCCAGCTCTGTCCAGCGGCCCTGCTCCCAGCCGTGTCCAGCGGCCCTGCTCCAGCTGTGTCCCGCAGCCTCGCTCCAGGCTGTGCCCAGTGGCCCTACTCCCAGCCATGTCCATGCCAAGGTGGGCCATGCAGAGGCAGCAATCCAGGGCATGGCCGTGAGGAAGGTGGTGCCCGCCTGTGGCCGGTGCCTGCAAGAGACCATCTCTGGCAGCTGCGTGGCCCAAGATCCGGGTCCTGCGCACAGGTGGGTGGCGTGAAAGGGCAGGCAGGCGCCAGCACCAGGTTGGACAGGTGGACGGCACAGGGCGTCCACACCTGCAGCGGAAGCAGAGATGCCCAGTACCACCATGTTGTCACACTCCAGGAGCAGGATGGTGCTCACAGACGCGTCCCCCGACCCCTGTCCCAGCGCTGAGCACTG